ACAGCCATCCAGCGCTGTACCCTAATAGGCACCAGCCATGGAACACTTGGTTCCCTTCCCAGCCCTCAAGATTTGCTGAAGATCCTTCCAGCAGCGGGAGCAGGCTCGCAGGAGTGCTGTGTGATCACATAAGACCCTGGGATGGTGCACCACCTCTGACAGTCCCTCTGGAGCACTCCCGCTAGATGGTATTTCACAAAAACAGGAGGCCAGAAGGAAGAGATTTTACCAGCTGGCATTTCATCCTTCTGAAACCAAACATTAACACCTTAGTGCTCACCTTGAGCATGAAAGCCACTCTCAGAGCATCCACACTCTCCAAATAAAGAAACAGTGTTCTCACTAAGCACTGATTTAAAACCGGGAACCCTTCCCCCCAAAAAACCCAGGAAAAACAGTTTGACAATATATTAAGCAGAAATCTTCACATTGTTATCACAGAAGTGGCTTATCAGCATTCAAAACCCTACAGAAGATATTTGATTACTGCATGTGTGGCAAGTTCGGTCAAAGGCAAAAATAATCTGAACAGGGCAAGACAGCCCATGAGCTAAACATGCCCTCAAGACATGTTAAAACAAGCTCTTCCTAGTAAAGAGACTGAAGGAGGTATGGATCCTTCCCTTTGCACTGATATGCTTGGAAAAACCAGGCCTAACAAAGTGGCTACACAGATATAAAACTAATGTAAAGACCTAGGGCAAGCTCAGAAGACACGTCCAGAATAATGTTCCACTGAGCTAGTGGAACGCGATAGCTGCGTTCGTGGCCTGGGGAATTCCTGTGGCTGTCAGTAACAGAAGAGATACCATCATAAGCAGCACAATTACAGAAAAAACACACAGAAGTGAGTATCTGGGAATTCCCAGATCTCGACTGTATTATTTAGCAACTTGCGCAGAAGTCACTGCAGATTAAACATGCCATTCTCGGTTCATAATTTGACACATCTCTAGTTGAAAAGAGGCAGATTAGAATAATTTCAGAGAGAATGTGCCCATACTGGTTACTGGTCAAAATAAAAAGGGTAACCAGTAAGGGCTGAACACCCAACATCTCCTGAGAAAAATCTAGCTCTGGACCCTTGCTGCATTGCTTAATCTCCTACACGGTGTGTATTTTGCTTCCACTTCTCCCTGGGCGTCAAGACTTCCTGCAAAAGATCTTACAGATCACAGACACAGACAACAATTCAACTAATCAAAACTCTGCAGTACGTGAATTTCACACCACTTTGAGAACCAAGAGTGAACCCTTACATAGGTGGTGGGAAACCACATACTTACAGCAGCCCGTGTGGTGGGAGACGCTGGCAGCAATCTGAAGACAGGCAGGCTCCTCACATGTACCACTAACCCATCCCAAGAGCAGCACATTAATCAGTCACCCTAAAACCATTAGAGAGAGAATGACAAAATTCCCACGGAATGTGGGCGTAAACAACTCTCTGGGAAACTGGTGTTAAACTGAACAAATAGGTATCAAGATGCAAATGACTGGGCAGGAATTCATGCCACCGAACAACATTATTTCCGCCTGTGCAACCAAGAGCCCTCCCCAACTCTTCTAAGCATTTCCCTTTTCAAACAGCATCACTCTGATCCTGCCTGCTTTCAGCTTGAGCCTGCAGGACTTCAACTCACCAACTTTGCTTTCCTACCACCCTTCTGACTCCACTTTCTGGTGGTAGTGCTTCTGCTGGCTGAAAACAAAACACAGAATTGAGTGCCAGGATTGTTTTGCCGTTGCATTTGGCCTCCCAGCCAGGAATTGAAGAAAAGGGAGGACAGGCAAAGTAACTATAGCTGAGGGCCTGCAGAGAGGAAAGGTGATTGCCCCTTGCCATTCTCCAGGTTGTGCTACAGGAGAAAAATGAGTCAGAAAATTGCAGATGCAACTTCCTTCTTACCTCTCAGTTCTGTGGGAGGGACACAAATATGTGCAAGAATGTTATCAGCCACGCGGCCGCAGGTGTATGTGAGCATACTTTGCTCACAACCATAAAACTGAAAGTGGGTTTTCTCCTTCCTTGATCACTGCATGAGCCACATACAAATTCACAGTACGGCCACTTCCTGCAGTCCTTAGAGGATTTTGATGGGGTTTTCTCTCCCTTCTAGTAGGTCTTCATCAGTAGGCAATAATGTTAGCTATGGAGGTGGCCTGCTTTTAACAGGTAGAACAAAATACCATGGCAATTTAATGGCATGGTGTGACTGACCAGCACACCACCCCAGTGGACGACAGCTCAGAGGAGAAGGGACAACTAAACCAATGACCTCAGGGAAGAACATATCCTAAGGAAAGCTCAATTAACCTCAACATCAGGACTGGAGGGTCACCTTAGTAAAGAAGACAGCTGCACCTGTGAATCATCAGGTTCTCCAAGACAATTAACAAAGAATAATGTCTTCCTGAGCTAGCCAGACGAGCATGGGGGGTGTGACTATGTGGCTCAGCCCAACATAAAAGAATAAAAACGGGACAACTGATAAAACATTTAAACTTTGAAAAGAGCAATGGGCTTGAGCTGGCTTCAACCCACATACTGCACTGTGACTGGGGATGCCAAATGTCATGACAGTGAGCATATAGAGACAGGTAATGAGAATCATGTTTGTATTGTGACTCAATGGTATATTGCAATTGCTAAATTATGCTTGTGTTTTCATTTCAGTATATTGCTGTATCACTCTACTAAATCAAAATCCCATGTAACACCAAATACACCAAATAAGTAAATTTTACATCCAATTCCTCCTCATGTGGAATATCTGAAAGAACTTGGTCTCAAAGTATTGAACCCTGACACCGAGAAATATGAAAAAACAGAAATGCTGTAGATTCACAACTTCACTACTGGAGCAGCTGACACCTTCCAGCAAGTTCCTCCCAGAGGAGCAGTTACTTCACTTAAGCTATACTTCCTTGTAATAAAACAACATTCTAATTCAAATCTAATTACTAACTTCATATCAGGATCTCATTTATGAAAACAGTATAAAAATGTAAATAAACTGTTGCCACATTTCCTGTATAGTTAACCAAATGTTAGCTGCAGAACTGTATCATACTCAGTAACACCTTCTGATAACTTTTGCAACAAACAGCACTCATTTACATAGTGCTTGTAACGTCTATTTATTATTTATGAAACTTGTGTGAACAGAGCTGTGATTCTAAGAATGGGCATTCTCCCTTTTACTTGGAAGGTGAAAAAGGGCAAGGGGAGCAAAATGAAAAGTTTCGCTTCAAGAACACAAGCAGGATTGAATAAAGAACCCCTGCTTGATGGCTAGACATGGATTTCCAAAAAATACAAACTAAAAAAAGCAGAAGTTACAAACTGTCTCAAATCAATCCTTTATCTTGTTATAAACTCAAAAGGAATGTAGCCGTCAGAATCCCACACAGCTCCCACACACCACCTACACATTGCTGAGGATGCAAGGGAAGAACATCCTCACTGGCATCAGCTGTCATTATCATGAAAGTCCTGAATTTTAACTTATTCTTTCCTACCATCTCTCTAGCTGCTAATGAAGGGATATCACTATGCTACCCCTCGGGGTGGCTGTCATCAAATACTTCAGCAAAGGCAACATAACTTCTGCTGAAGTAAAAGTGTTCATCATGCTGACTGTCCCTCAGTCAGCTCATCTGAAAGAGAAACACACCACCCACAAACAGTGACGTGAAAACCAAGAGTATTTATTACAAGAGAAACAAGAGTCCACTGGAGCTAGTCAGGAGGAGAAGGTATCTCAGAGTAGTGGATCTCATCAAGCAGGATCATCCTTCCAGTGATCAACAGCCATTCAAAACAGACTATCCCTTAAAAGCTCTGAGAAAAAAAACACAGTTAGAACTCCTACTATTAAAAAACCTAAACAGCAGTGCTGTTTAGCCAAGTAAATTGATAACATAAAGCAAACCAAATATTTGGAGGAAAAGAACCAAACTTGTATTATCATGAACGTCTTTTTTCAGTCCTTCTGGACAGGGATGTTATTTTCCATGAAAAATTACCCAGCTTCCAGAGACAGCCAATGATTCACCTCTGGGTATATCAGTTACAATCTTACATATGCTCCCTAGGAAGGGATCTAGCATTCTGAATCTATCTGGGCTTTTCTTCAGATTTCAGAGACGAGTCAGACAGAAATGGACTTCCATTGGCATTTCCAATAACTTTTAAAAATCGTACTACTTGGAAGTGCTTCCTCACTTGAAACCCAGACTCAACAGACTCCACTGCTTCCGCAGGACAGAAAGCCAGAGCTGTACTCCTTCACGGCCTTACCAGACTGGCACAGATCCAGATGCCAGGAGACTTATTAAACATGCAAACTGGAAAATTTAGGTCCCATGGCCCTTTGAAGGACTGGGGATAATTACACAGATCTAGATAATTTCTCTTGCAAGTCCTCTTCCCTGTGGAAGCCCACTCCAGATGTGATTCTTAACTGAGTATATTCTTATTTTTCTACTTTTCAGTTGACTGGCATTGTGGAATTTGGAAGATCAATTGCTTCCGTAGGGTTGACGTTATCTTTGGCATCTGCTTCCATCCATTTAATACTCTTCCTCCCACCTCCTTGTTCACTTCTGTCAGGATGGTTATGAGATCCTTGTGCCTTGAACAAAAATGGTAAAAAGTTACATTGAAATACGTGGTACTTGCAGCTAGGCCAAGAAGCTTGTGTGTGTTTGCTCCAATAAAACAGTATCTCATATCTCAAGGGAAGGCTACTACCTTCCCTTCACCCTGCCCGTCACTGAAATTGCACACTCCATTGTGCAACCACAGAATTCAGTGTGTTTAGGGGAATAAAAGCAACCTCTGCGTAGCATCGCTCTACCAGCAAACACAGCCCTCTACTTTTATTATAGTCAGAAGAGCGCACTAAGATGGAACAGAACCAAAACTGTGCATTCTCCAAGCTCTCTTCTGGACACCATGAGAAAGTGATGTCTGAAGATAAATTCTCCTTTCTAAATCAAGTTTATGATGGGAATGGAAGTGAGGCAACAATAAAAATTATCACTAAAGAACACTGATTTTTTGTGTGTGTCTGTGTAATCACTCAACAAATTCGCCTCTCACCAGCTGCCACTGAAGGAAAAATCATTTATCTGTCAAAAAAATATTAAAAAACATGCACACACAGAGACTTGTTTATATGTAATGTTCCAGCATTGTAACCCTGCTTCTGTCACAGGCAAACTTGGGGAAGTCACTTGTATTTTGGTTCACCTGTAGAAGAGTAACAATGCCCAATTCCAGAATAATTACTGTTCTGCACTGTCCTGCAGGTAAAAAGCACTACACAGCACAAATGCAAAACATTGATGTTTCAGCACAGCATGCTTAAGTATGTATGTCTGCAATACCCCAAATATACATGCATTCAAAATAGTACTTACAGTGGGCAAAGCAACTCCATCTTGTCACAGAGGCATTGAACGTAAACACTGCCAGTCTTTGTACAGCGGTAGCACTCATAGTCTTCCACCGTAGCCATGCCAACAAGAATATCAGCCTGATCAGGAATGGAAGTCAGAGGGGTAGCATCCGTCTCAAGGTGGTCAGAAAAGTCTTCTTTCACTGTGACAACTGGATGACCTACAGAGCCTTGGCAAGCCTGGATGAAAAACAGCTTGGGTTTGCCAGCAAGAGAAGGACAATTAGATCCACTGAAGCAGGAGAGTAAATCTTTTATATTTACAAACTCATGATCAACACCTTTTATTTTGTCTTTTTCACCATGGGAAAAAATGAAGCAAACAAAACAGTCCATGTTACTATGATCTTTTTTGCTGTATTCTTTAACTTTTGCATACATTTGCTTCGCTTCTAGATCCATGTGCTCAACTGTCTCAAACTGAAGCCACTTAAACACCCTCTTCACAGCCTCTGGGGAAAAAAGTCAGACGGCACTTGTTAAACATGAACAGTGACAAGGAATATGCTGAAACATCAGTGTCTGTGTGGTAGCACAGATATTAACAGAACTGTTCACATCCCACCAATAAACTCACCTGCCTGACTCTTAGCCTGCCAAATCTAATTAGAAAAACACAAATGGCTAATTAATTTTTTTAGACACAACTGGGTTAAGCATTACGCTATCTAAAGCAAAAATAAGTTTCAGATTAACTGATTAATCAGCACAAATTAGTGAAGCTTACTGTGTTAAAGCAAGCTTTAACTGTGCATTGCATAGTAATCTCAGATTACTGTTTAAAAGCAACACTTAGCAAGTTAAAGAAGAGGTACCTCTTAAGAATGACAAATTCTGCCACTCCTAAATGAAGTAGGTCACTCATTCTGTGAGAATGATCCATGCAGCAAGGCGGCAGGCAGGGTAACCCGCTAACAAATGCTATGCAGACTTTGCAGCAAATGTTGACTTGTTTGTGTGGGTGGTGAGAAAGTAGCTGGGAAGCAAGCAGCCTGTAGACAGGCTGGATGGAGTTAAAATATCAGTGACGTGTTTTCATGAAACAGATTTTACTTTGAGATAAGCTCTTGTTTATCTTAAAAGTGACTCAGGAAGACATGTTTTAAGGAAAATTCTAAAGCAGTAGCATTTATTTGAGCATTAAGTAGAATTTAAGGACTTAAAAATATTACTCCATGACAGCTAAGAACTAAAAACAATCAAAAAGTGAAAAGGTGGAATAGTAATGCCTCCTTTGCTATTTGGTACATATCACCAATTAAGACGATGCTTTTTACCTAGAACAGAAAGTAGTCCCTTCTTTAAGCCATCAGCTAAACTGTTGGAAGTGGCATATTTCCAATTTCTACAGTGACTGTCATTCCAGTTACTCTGGAGGCAAGGGAGCTCAGTGGACATGATTCTTCTTCACAGGAAAGACTAGATAGTTCTTTCAGAGAATTATCAGAGAAAAAAACAGAACAGTAATTGGATTAAAAAAGTACTTACCTCCATCTTTCACTGTTCCTTCTCTGGCTTCATATGGATTTTTAAAAATGTAGTTGTTAAGAATCACACAATAACCATGGGGGTTATTTTTCATCTTGTATGATTCCACAACCTGTAGAAACAAAGAAAACAGTTAAGAAAGCAGTGCCAACCATTCAAAAGAGAAATATACTGTACATAGATTGTTAGTTCTTCATGTCCAAGTGCAAAAAAATCATGAGGGCCAAGATACAAGAAAAGCAAAGCCTAGGAATACAAGCTAGCTACAGGGGTGAGGAATATGCTTTGTCTCCCCGAATCCCTCCTCCTCTCTCTCTGTGGTTAGGATATGATTTTGGCATGGCAGAAAGTGAGTATCCAGAAACACAAAACTGCATGTGCAGAAGAAAACTTCCTGCACCCTATATTCCCTCTGAGAGTCCTTAGGGGTTTCCAGTGAGGTAGCATGTTCTGTTGCTCCTTTCCCATCTGTCCAGGAGTATCCTGGCTGGGACTTCAATGTCCCAGTCTTCATTATCGTTAAGATTGTTTTTCTTCACACAACAGCTACTCCTTCATTTCTTGTCTCAAAGATTGTTACCAGCCAGGTCTCACAAAGGAACAAGACTTGGTCTTGTTTTGAAAATAGGAATTTTCAGCTCTTCCACCTGCTTAGTCTGAAGAATTTACGATCCTCCCTCCCAGGAGTTAGATAAATACATTAAAGATAATCTTGAGGTATTTCTCACCAAGCGTGGTATCTCCCTCTCTGCTCCTTGTCCTGCTGGATGCACAGACACAGCCACTGGATAGGGGATTTCTTGCTTAGAATCATTTTCTAAGAGGGAGAAGATAAACAGAACATTTTAGGACTAAAAAGATACACCTTCCACTGTGCATATTTCAACACTCAAAAAAACAGCACAAGGAGTGAGGTGGAGCATGATTTCCACATCACTGAGACACCATCATTTTGCAGAGCTGGGCCAAGCAGAGTTCCAGTTTCCCAGACTGCTGGTTATTGAAGTTGTGCAGAGCTGTGCTCCATTTCTTCTCTGCTCTTTTACTGGTAGCAAGATCCAGATAATAAAAGGCTGAATGTGAGTAGTCACCCCAGGCAAGCCATTTGCTAGAAACTCCACTATGGGATACATAAGTGAAAGAGGAGACCCATTTTTGTACATTGGTACACTACAGCTAGTTCATTTATTTCTCTTCTCCAGAGAACTTTACTGTTTGGGTGGACACACCAAGGATGCAGAATACTAGTGTAATGGAAGATTGTTCCTCAAAGGAACAAAACACTTCTTTGAATACAACTGCCTGAAGTAAGTGAAGAAATCATCAAACCCATGATTCTACCCAAGGAAATAAATCACAGTACCCCTTTTACAAGTTACACAGATGTGTTTAAATGGAATTTAATTGTCAGGGCAACAAGACATAAGACATGCTCTTCTTCTGTTTACCAAGGGGGACAAAATAATAACAATACTACTAAAAAGCCATTCCCCTGACAACAGGGCTTGCTTACATTAGCCACTCCTGGCATTTTTCTTCTGCTCTTTTAGAGACACAAGCACAGGTCAGCAGCACAAAACCATGCTGGGGAAACTAGTCGGTACCTCTGCAGGGAACTGCATGGACTGTTTAGATGTGTCTAAGGAAACACATGTCCCGAGTCATTCAAAACAGGCTCAGGGGAAAAATGTAATAGGTCTCAGTTGTTGTTGGTTGACACAAAGAGTAAGGCCCAGCTGTGATGGCACAAGTCACCACCTCAGCTGCAACAGTCCAGACACACTGAAGTCCTTGCAATTTCACATCTGGTACAGAAAGCTAATAGTTACACTTTAGCCAAGTACCTGGCCGCCCGGGACTTTTTTTTTGACTAAGAGCAAACCGCCTGGCTAACAGAAAATAATGTTGACAATCTCCCAATACAAGTTTCCCCAAGGCAACTGTCACCTCCAGTCTCTTTTGGTGACTAAAAAGCTATCCTGGTCCAAAACCAGCACTGCACTGTTTCCTGCAGAGAAAAATTGCATTCAAGGCAAAGAGGAGGGAGAAGCAGACCATTTACAAGACACAGAACGTATTTCAAGGAGAGATACAAAAAAGTATGATGCGATAATGAAGTAGCAGAAAACTTCAGAAACCACAGGTACCAAGAGCTGCTCTTCCTATCCTAGGATACTGTAAGGGCTCTCTCTTATCTCTGGACTATTAAGCTTCTGTGCTGGTTTTGTCTGGGATAGAGTTAATTTTCTTCATAGTAGCTAGTATGGGGCTGTGTTCTGGATTTGTGCTGAAAACAGTGTTGATAACACAGGGATGTTTAGGCCTTCTCTGCTCCTCACACCACCCCACCAGTGAGTGAGTAGGCTGGGGGTACACAAGAAGTTGGGAGGGGACACAGTAGGGACAGCTGACCCCAGCTGACCAAAGGGATATCCCACATTGTATGACATCACGCTCAGCATATAAAGCTGCGGGAAGAAGAAGACAGCAGAGGATGTTCGGAGTGATGGTGATTTGTCTTCCCAAGTAACCATTATGCGTGATGGAGCCCTGCCTTCCTGGAGATGGCTGAATACCTGCCTGCTGATAGGAAGCAGTGAATGAATTCCTTGCTTTGCTTTGCTTGTGCATGCGGCTTTTGCTTTATTTATTAAACTGTCTTTATCTCAACCCATGATTAGAGATAAAGAAAACCCACTTTTACTCTTCTGATTCTCTCCCCCATCCCACCGGTGGAGAGTGAGCGAGCAGCTGGGTGGTGCTTAGTTGCCAGCTGGGATTAAACCATAATAGCTGCCAAGGATGGAGCCACAAAGATCACAAAAAAACCAGCTCTACTCTTAAAACACCAGATTAAATAATTAGATTAAATAACTTACCTTTCTTTTTTTCTTCATAGGTATCAATTTTTTTCTTTATGTCAGCTCTAAATCCCTTTAATGTATCTTTCAGCATTGCCAGGTCATCTTCTTTAATTATCCCCTTTCTTTCCATTTCCAGAAAGACCTTCAACATTGACTGGTAGAACAAAAACACATAAGCCAAGCTCATACAGGGACCTTCAATGACTGCAGTATCAGACACTTCTGGACAGAGCAAAGGACAGCATCCTCATGCCCAGAGACTGACCAGCTAAAGACCAATTTCTTTTTCCTCCAAACCTCATTAAAACAAGGGTGAAGATGCAATGCAACTGAAGAAACGCATCACCAAGGTTAAGATAGGATCATTAGAAATTGTCTATGGCTAGCTTATCCAGCTTTGTTTCAACAGTGCAAAACACTGATGTCAATAACAACACGCTTCCTGTTGTGCCTCTGTGTTCAGATGAAGTGCTGTTAAGTCATTTAGCTGTGCCATTTCACATTTTCTGTTGCAGAAAAGGAGTTGAGGGCTAATTTTGTTTTTTAAAGCTCAACAGTCCACCAAGCTGGAGGTAAATCTGCTGATTTTCCTACAGATGCCACAATACAAATAGGACTTTTAAGGAAGCTTCTTAATAATACCAAGCATTTTTATAAGACTGTCCATGATTTACAATACAAGTATTAAAGCAGCTCATCAAACCTCTTAATAGTTTTGTTAAGTACAAAATTCCATTACCCCAAATTACAATAAAGAAAATGTACCCAATGATACACAAGAATTTGTGGTTGAACTCACATTAGAACTCGATTTTCTGTCTCCAAAACACTGTTTTTCCTCCAGCAAACATCACTTTTCCTAGATACAGCATACATACAAATGTCTTATAAATGCCAAGCAAAGAAGAAAAGAAGAGCATGATGGATTTTGCAAGAAGAAAAGATTAGGGAGACAGGTGGTGGAGGGAAAATAGGAACAGGAGAGCAAAAAAGGGTGGAGAAAAGATCCAATGTGAAAAAAAAAAAAGAGTCCAATCTTTCCCACAGCAGCTATCAGCTAACATCACAATTCTTTCAACAACAGATTTTAGTGAGAGCAGACTGCTTTTTCTTTCCTCCCTTCTTACAAGAACTAGGAGACTCTGAACTAGCCTTGCAAGAAACTTATCAAGATCATTTTGCATACAGCATTATCCTGGAGCTTGTTCTTTGGTATTTGTTTTTGGAGCAGGAACTTCATGCTCTTGACATCTTCTGGAGTCAAGTCCTCTGCAATTCCATATAGCAGTTGCCTAGCAATAAAGAATAGAGAAAGACTGATTAAGAAAGTTAAGAGAAGTGAACACCACAATTACACGTGTGAGCTGCAAAATGTAAAACTCAGCGCGGCAGGTAATCATGCCATAATAAATACAATTATGCTGGGATATTCATAAGACAGCAGTGCAGACAGAAAACACCACAGTACACAACAGAACTGTGGTACATTTTGCATGCAAAGATTTACTACTTCTGTGCTTACCTGTAGGCTGACACCTTTGCCCTGCCTGGGATCTGAAGCTCGCTCTCCATCTCCTCTCGGCTGGAGCCCAGCTGGGCAGCCAGAAGGTCCATCCGATTGATCCGGTAGAGCAGCTCCTTCAGGAAGGACAGGCTCCCCACCTCGATCATGCCTTTCTCCTGCAGCGCTTCAAAGAAGGCCTTGGGCTCCTGAATGGCTTCCAGCTTCCTCATGGGGATGTGCTCCAGGCTGAGAAACTTCAGAGCTGCCAGCTCATCTGTGACCAAAGCCTCAGAAATGTCAAAAAGGAGTTTGTTGAAGTCTGTACTCATTTCACATCAGGATTTGGATCTAAACACAAGCAGAAGATGATTTCATTTGTCAGTAGCTGTAGTGCAACAACGTGATCATAAAAGGCATCACATCATGTAGAATAGCCCAAAATAAATACATGCAATCAAAAGTACTTCAGTAGAGAGAGGCTGTCTTGCTATCATAGCTTTGATGCTTAGCTCTTTTGGTTCTCTCGACTTAACAAGGAATATAAAAAACTCTGAACTAAGTGAAACTGACAGAGAAAATCATGGATCATTCTCGCTTCCGAGGGGTGTCCAGACAGCGGGAAGTATCAACGTATAGGATGTACAATCCCGTCAGGCTGCTCCTGTTTTGGTTTTGGTTTGGTTGGTTGCTTTTTGGTGGTTGTTTTTTCTTTTTTATTAGGTTTGATCCCATTTGGAGGTAAGAGCCACTTGCCAGTCTGAAATGCAAACTATGTAGTAAATCAGACTGCCAAGTTTTACACCGTAACAAAGATAAAGGTTTTACATCATAACAAAGACAAGAGTCCACGAGTATAACTCTTCTAAGCTATCTGGCTTGTCCTTTCTTTATACATTGCTTCTGACCCTGGTCAGCATAGCCAAAGCACCTCTTCCTGTTACCTGCATCAAATAAAACTCTGTTCCCAGCTCTCAATCAATTTTTAATAATTCAAATCAAATACAGATCATGTCAACCTTATTAAAAAGGCCAGGAGAATTCTTGTCAAACTAGTTCTGTTTCACTGACCAAATACCACCTCCCTTCTCCACCGCTTCCTCCATCAGCTTTAGAAATATTAAACTTGGCTTATGGGTCCAACTTTTAAGCACAAGAGAAAGTGAGAAATACCCACGTGCAAGCCTTCCAACTATCTCACCCTGATATCTAAAAGACCTGCCTCGACTGCGCCTCTGGTAGGAGAATCATTTGCCACTTCATTCTCTCTGCCTTAGATCTAAGCCACCTAGGAAGCTCTGAAGAGGAACTCTATAGAAATGCATTTAGTAGAGGTCTTTTGTCCCATTGAACTCACTGAGAGACAGAAAAGTTGACAACAGCAAATCAAAACTTCCTATTCCTACACTACCAGAATATTAGGCAATTCATTTTAATTTTACTGCTACGGCAAATGTTTCAATAGCAGAGCTAATAACTCCAAGGTAGCCCAGCTAACTGAATCAGTACTACTGTAAATATTTAAAAAAAAAAAAATTAGCAGACAATTGTACTCCCCTTTCCTCCAAGGACCACTCTACAACAAAGAAGCTTTTTGTGGCATACCCTTGGTCAGCATTCTGTTAGTTAGCAAGAGTGAACATACAACTGAATCTTAAACCTTTGTCTATCAAAAAACCTGGTAAAACTGCAAAACATGCTTTGTGATGCAGCATATGATTCATGCTCTGCCCCCAAATACTGTTTTCTTTAAATCCTTTAAAACTGAACTTTTAAACAGACTACCACCCACACCATTCAGCCCCGTATCACCACAAAACCACTAGTACTTGAATGAATCGCATGTGCTTAACTTGATGATTCAATGATCTCAGATCTGACTATATTTTTATATCCACACAGGAAAGAGAAGAATACTTTCGTGGTAGCTAGTTATGATGTTATCTTCTTTCACACAAACCATGTCTTCTGTTTAAGATACAAGGCATGTGCTTATAAAAGTAAATCTTTCTGGTAAAGGAAATTTTCATTTTTATTTCTCAAAGGCTCTAAGTTTCAAACCCACAAAATTGTTGCCATTAAAACAGATGTGCCACCTACACTCTATATTTAAGCCTTCCGTAAATACAGGGAGCACACTAAAACCATTGTTTTAACTGCTTCTCCCACTTTACTAAATTAAAGACACAACTGATACAACAAGCAAACTGAATAATAATAACAACAATAACAATAATAATAATTTTACATCACTCACATGGGAGGACAGGCTGGAGGACTACCAGAACAACTCAAAAAAGTGAGACAGCCACAGTCTCTAAAGTTCCAGGAAAAGTGTCGTCTTCTGTACTATGGTCTATATTGTCACATGACTTACAGACATGGTCATAATGCAGCAGTTCTCCACTCCACCTATCAGGGTTCCAGGAAATTAATTATTACAGTGCTTGTGAGAAAAATTCGTGAACAAGCCACAAAAGTAACCAGGTTTTGCTTTTCAGGGTACACAATAAGCAGCATAGCCAGGACTTTCTAGCATACAGCACAGCTCAGTATATTTGCTCCCATACATAAATCCTAATTAAAAGACAGTGAGGGAAGGGTGAATCAATTATAACTTCCTCTTTAAAAATATCTCAGTCCCACTGTCCTGCTGTGTCACCAGATCCTCCATGACTTACCTCCTTTCACTGAAGTCCCTCTCCAACTCACCCCAGCCTATTTTTAACAAGCACTTTCACGGGAGATTATTTCCTAAAGTTAAAAATGTCAACTACCAGCACCAAATTCAGTAGCAGTACTCAGTGAACACAGGAAGTTGAAAGGCTAAACATTCCTTTGAAATTATTTGTATGATATACTTCCCCATGTACAAGAGAATTTAAGCAATAATTAAGTTTTGGCATTTTCACCCTCTTTGAAGTATAGAACTCTGCCTTCAATGGTAAGGTTCCCAGTATGGTTTGCTGGTCACCAGTATCTTCTTTGCAACAGGAAATAAATGATCAGCAATTAGTACAGCTGCCAGACTCTCTGAAGCTTGTGAAGTCAGCGTTATGAAAAAGAGACAGTTAGGAGAGCTGAAATCTGTTAAAATTTTGGAATGAAAAGAATCATTCATTGATTTCAACCTATCTACCCTTATAAACTCAAAATTATAACATACCCTTCGATAGAACGAGGCATACAAATTCCTTCCAAAAGGCACACGCTAGTAAGAGTTCAGAAAATGTGTCTGGCTTATTTCACTGGCACAAGTTGTTCTTTTATCCAAAGGCTGAGCAGCACAGAGGGACACCTCAAGCACAATCTGATCTTCAGGTCCAAAATGGTTCTGTCTCCATGTAATCCCATGCCTCAGTGTCTCTCTACTTGCATGAGTTCCTCTGTGTCTTAACTGAATCAAGATTCCAGTTGCAGTTTGAAAGAGGAAGCATGACGTGATCAGCACTGTTTGAAAAATATTCGCAGACAAGACCAAGCCCAGGTTGGCTCTTTCCACATAGAAGCCTCTCCCATCATGCAGCAGTTTCAAGGACCAGCCCTCCTGGCACCGTTCTTCCTCTTCGTCTTTACTGTTTCACTTCTCCTTTCTGCCTCTCTCACCCTTCCCCAAAATGTTCCTGTCCTTTTGTTAACTTACAGTCTCTCCAATTTCCCTCAGCTCCCCTGGACCCTGATTTTGTCCCTCCAGCTTCCTCTAGAACTCTCTCAGTGACTCAATCTATTCCTCCTACAGCAGCCTGCCAAAAATTCACCTCTCCCAGAAAGGTTCACCTTGAGGAAGTGAAAATGCTGAGGCTACTGAATATTCTACTGGCACAAAGCAGGATGCACAGCTCCTGCACAAAAACTGTCAGGAGGGATGGGATACTAGAGACTTGTCGATGTTACAAATCCCACGTTAAGATCATGACCTTCCCAAGATACCGACTTCCTCAACAGAAAGACTTTTTTTTACACTAGTTCCACTTAAATCTGTCCAAACAAGGGTTGCACAACTCATGACTCGTCTTTAATTCTGTAGGTGGGAAGCACGCACATGTGCATATGCTTCTGTTTGCCATCAGTAAGCCTCAACAGAAACCAACCGCATTTTTTTTGTTTGTTTTAGGCTGATTTCTTTCTGGCACAGCTCTGTATTACAAGAGTTACACTGAAGGTGTACAGTGTGGACAGCAAGGAGCAATGAATATCCAAGTTGTATAAAAACCACCCACTCTCCCTCAAGGCTTTCAAACTGCTATCTTATAACACACTGCAGGTGATCATGCAGAAACATCCAACAACCTTGCTGAATGGCAGCTGCAGTTACAGTACTAAGCCTACCATGCCTTTGGGCTTGTGCTGACAAGAGTACCACTGCATGCACCCAGGTATTGCAGTGTGCAGCCACATAAACACAACTCTCAACAATGACATGCAAAATAGTCATCCCGAGTAGTATGAAACATGGTAGCATAAACTGTGTTTGAACAAACGTTACTATGAAGCAAGGGACACTTTACCAATCTTTTATATTTCACAAGTGTGGATCCCTCTCCCCAGGGAACTCAAACAGAAGTCAGCTTAGACTCTTCTGATTGCCTTTACCTACCTATGATGTAACTGGAGATTGCCCAGGCAGAAGCTTCTACAGAGAAAGCAAAGTAACTAATGATCACGTTCTCCATCTACCGAACTTAAAAATGGAACTTCTGATTGCCTTTACCTACCTATGGAGGTACCTACCTACCTACCTACCTAAACTGGAGATTGCCCAGGCAGAAGCTTCTACAGAGAAAGCAAAGTAACTAATGATCATGTTCTCCATCTACCGAACTTAAAAATGGAAACAAGATCCCACAAATCAAGGTCAAAATTGTTGTCAGTGTTTATGTGTTATCCATACTGACAAAAATTCAACTGTTACCTAAACATACACAACAAAAGTGCACCAAGCCTGAACACTAATTGCAAGCCAGAAACTTCATGATTCTATTACAATATGTTACATATTCTACTAACAGACAAAACATTTCTATCTGCGGCACAAACGTGTCTTCAAATGTGGCAGCCATACTAACTCAGAAGATTCAAAATGTGATAGGTCATACAACTATCAATTCACTGTGATAAAAAGTGACCATTTTGTTTTGGCAAACTGGGTGCATTTCAATGCTCTGTATGATGCAAAACTCCCCTCCTAAAAATCCTGGATAGTGCAAGCTAAAAATTGCATCCAACAGCACTAGACAGTACTCTTTCAAATCTTCATCCTAACTTATGGCTAGTAATCATATATAACAATCAGTGTTTTGCTGGAATAAACTAAGTTCACTTCAGCTTAAAC